AAGCAGGATGCAAGAATCAGAGACTCAGAGCTAGAAGGGACTTTAGGGGCCCTGTAATCCAACCTCATTTTTTAAAATGGGGAAACTGAGGCTCAGAGAGAGGAGGAAATTGCCCAAAATTAATTCAAACCCAGGTCCTCCACTTCCAAGGCACAATAACACCTCCATAAGGGAGATACAAACATTATGCTACGAGAATCCAAAGAAATGAGAGATCATTTCAGCTTCAGGCAAGGAGAAGGGATAGGGAATAGAAACAATGAGAAGTGCCACTCAGAGACAGTAGCGTTTGAGCTGAGCTTTAAAGGATGGATAAAATTTCAGTAGGTAGAGATGGAGGCAAGGGAGGCATCCTAGGTGCAAATTCCATTCATCCAACATTTATTAAGCCAACTATGGGCAAGGCACCAGGAAAGCAAAGACAAAAACAGTCCTTGCTCTGACCCCAAAGAGCTCTTATTCTACTGGAGGAAAAAACACCCACATGGAGAGGGAAATATGAATTAACTTCAGGCCTGGCATCATTAACAACTGGCAAAATCAGAAAAGGCTTCCTGGAGGAAGCGGCATTTGAGGAAAGCCTTGAAAGGCTCTAAGGATTCCAGGAGGAGGAAGGAGAAGGGAGAACTCCAGGGAGGTGGGGAGAGCCTGTGTAAAGGCAGAGGGGAGGTTCAGACGGTCATGGACTAGGAACAGCAAGTGGACCAATTGGACAGCAACATGCACAATGGGGTGTAATGGACACCCCACATAAAAAGACAGGTTGAAGTCAAATGGTGAAGGACTTTAAATGCCCAATAGAAGAGCTTGCGTTTTATCCTAAAGTGATAAGAAGCCACTGAAGCTTCTTGAGCAAAGGAGTGACATGCTTAGAACCATGCTTTAGAAATATTATTTTGGCAGCTATGCGTTTGACAAATTTGAGGTGGCCAGGCATAGAAAACAGATTAGGCAGCTATCCCAGTGGGCTTGGTGGGAGGTGATGAGGACCTGACTTCGGGTGGCTGGGGTGTTTCTGGAGAGAAGGGGATAGATGCTAGAGAAGTAGAACTCAGTAGTATCTTGGGTGGGAGGGTAGAAGGAAAAGTCAAAGATGACTCTCAGGTTAGGACCCTAGGTGGCTAGTAGAATGGGGTTGCCCTGGACAGGAAAAGAGAAGTCAGAATCAAGGGTGAGTTGAAAAAGGAAGAGAAAAAATTCTGGCTTGGACATGACTTTAAGATGCCCGTTAGACTTCCAGGTAGAAATGTCCAGCAGACAATTGGAGATGGGGGATTAGACATGTAGATTTGGGAGTACTCTCCACGGAAATTGGAAAGAACTCTGTGAGTCTTAAAAACAAAGAATTGGAAAACTGGAGGCAAGTTCTCCATCCCCTAAACTCTTAGAGCATGTTGTCTGAAACTTCCTTCTGGAATCAGCAGGTTACCTAGGAAAGAGCACAGGCTCTGGATCAGACAACCTGGGTTTGAATCCTGGCTCTGTTACTTAAGTCTAGCCAACTCAATTCCCTTCTCTGGGCCTCAGTTTTCTCATCTATAAAATGAGTAGGCTGGGCTAGATGCTCACCAAGGTCCCTTCCATCTCTAATTTTCCTGATTGTCTCAATTTGGCTAGAAAATGATAAACAAAATTCATATCATGGAAAGCCTTGAACGTCAGGGAGAGGATTTAGAGTTGCTTTGGGGGCAGTGCACAGCCACCAAAGGTTGAGATGGGAGGGTACAATGATCACAATACTAATGGTCCAAGGAGATTAATCTGGCTGGTGTGTAGGCTAGCCTAAGGAGAAAAGATGGAAGCTGGGAGACCAATTGGGCAGATTTGAAATAGTCTAGACACAAGCCATAAGGACTGACATGATCGTGGGGGGTGAAAAGTAGATGACAGATTTGAGAGACCTTCCAGAAGTCGAAAAGCTATAGGACATAGCAATGAAAACTTGTCAAGAGCAAAGATAAAGGAGTAGAAGGTTTTGAGCCTGGGAAAATAAAGTTAACAGGATCAGAACAGTTTTAAGGGAGAGGTCATGTTTGAAGTGTGGGTGGCACATCCTGGTGAAGATATCTAGCAGACAGACAGAAGTTCAGGCCAAGGGCCTGGAAGAGAGGTTAGAACTAGAGATACAGATTTGAGAATCATGCAACCTCAAAATTAAAAGGAACCTCAAAGGCCTAGAGATACAGTGCGGTAAAGCTGGGATGACCTGGGTTCAAACTGTTCCAAAAGATACTTATACACTATGGGACTCTAGGCAAGTCACTTAAGTGATGCATGAGCACAATCTCTATACTCAATACTCAATATACTCAATACTCAATATACACAATCTCATCTGGAAAGTGAAGGCATTAGACTGAAGGATCTCCGAGGCTCCTTCCAGCTCTAAATCTATGATCCACCTAATCCAAGCCACCCCTGACCAAGAATCCCCTCTGCTATATTTTTAAGAAGTCATCATTCAGCCCAAGTGTTAAGCTGTCCAAGGAGCAGGAACCCACTACCTCCCAAGACAGTCCATCCCGAGTAGAAAGGAAGGTTTTTCCTTAAATCAAAGTCCAAATCTAAAACTTGTAACCACTGTTGCAAGTTCTGTCTTCAAGCACAGAACAAAGCTGATTCCTACACTACAGGACAGCCCATTAAGGACTGGAGGCACAAAGGTGACCATTTAAGGCCTGGAGGTAGATGAGATTATCAAGAAAAGTGTGCAGGGAGCAATGAAGGTCAAAGGAAGCAATTTGGAGAATGCCTGGGGGGCAGGAAATGCCTAAGCATCCAGTTCATAGGAAGAAGCAGGAGGAGACAGAGGAAAAGTGAGAGAGCCAAGGGAATTCTGGGAGCCCAGTATTGTGGAGGCCAAGGAAACAGAGAGAGAAAATCAAGGAGGAGAAAAACCATTACCACAGAGCAGAAGGCATACTTCAAGGGACTGAGGAGTGAGGGATGTAAGCAAGAGAAAGCCAGGAGGACAGATTCTTCTTTCTAGATATTGGCTACAGAAGAAAGCAGAGGAAGAAAACGACAGCTTGGATGGAGAAGTTGTTCTGTTGTTGCCTTTTCTTTTTTAAAGAATTGAGGAAAACTGATTCAATTTGAAGGAGCATTCGTAGGAGCCAGTAGAGTGAAAGAGATGGAAGTGTGGCACAGCGGGAGAAGGGTTGCGGTTCAAATTCTGACTCTCTCACTCATTATCTGGGTGACCTTAACCTCGACACTTCACTTTTCCAGGCCTCAGTTTCCTCATCCTTCAGGTTAGAAAGAATGGATTAGATAATCTCGAAGGTCCTCTCAAGTTCTAAATCTAAGATATGAAGATGCAAGATTCAAGGGGGCGATTGTGAAGCCAAAACCATGAGAGTAAGAATTGGGCTCATGATTTTGCCAAGTGAAGAAACTTCTTCTCCCCACGAAGGCTGGCATCTTCTGTGCACTGTCTAGTCATAGAGAGCTCCCTAGAGCATGCTCAGTGACTTACTGAATCACACAGTGAGTATGTCAGAGACAGGACTGGAATTCAGGCCTTCTTAGCTTCAAAGTCAGCTATCAACTACTCCAAGTCTGCCTTGAGTAAGTATAAAATTGGGTTTTAAGAAACTCTGAAAGGCCTTTGGTATCTAAATAATAGAAGGCAGTAGGGAATAGATAGAGTGCTTGACTTGAAATCAGGAAGATCAAAGTCCAGATCCTGACTCAGATACTTAGTAAATGCCTAACTCTGGGCAAGTCACTCTCTGGGCCTCAGTTTCTTTATCTGTAAAATTAGCGAGTTGGCCTAGAGAACCTTTCAGGTCTAAATCTATGATCCTATAGTCTTCATTTTTACTAATGAGGAAACTGAGGCTCAGAGTAGTGATATGTTCAGCAACACAGTCACAAGCTAGTTGAGGTGGGACATAAACCCAAGTCTGCCTTGCTCTAAGTCCAGTACTCTACCCCCTACACCACCATTGCCTCTCAAATATCCCACCCCACACACCTCAAAAACTGCCCTTTCCACCTGCTACTCTAAATAGATGGAAAAGATTGGAGATATCTTCTATGTACAGAGGTGTTTGCATGTTGCCTTCCCCATGAGAATGTGACTTCCTTAAGGATGAGCGCCATGTGTTTTTTGCCTTTCCTTATATACCCAATGTTGAGCACAGTGCCTGGCACAAAGCAAATTTACTTTTTGCAAAATCAGGAGTAGCTGATGCACAATGTGAGAAATGAAATCAAGACAGCCCTAATGAAATTTAGGGGTGGGACCTACATTTTCCAGTACTCTCTCTTCTCTCCTTTCTCTTCATTGTAGTTCATAAATATTATTTAGGGATTGCCAAATTTGCATCAGCTGCCATTAGCTTTTTATCTTACCCTTCCCTTATTCCAATCCTACTCCTATCACTAGATAAAGAAAATACATTTATGTCCCTGCAACTTCCCCTTTAAATAAGAAAAAAAAAGCTACCGATTTTGAAAGCTGCCAGACTGGGTCAAATTCCGTACATCAAATGTGAAATATCAGCTCTACCTAGTAAATGAGGAACACAGGTTTAAATCCCCAAATGAGTGACTCAGAGCAGTCTACAACAAAGAATGGAGTTTCTTATGCTCATGAAGGGGAATGTGGGATGGAAAGCTTCCTATAAAACAGGTATAGAGTATCTCTCCATGGATCCCGTCATTTACCATATTCTGAATTATTGCTGTGTTGTTCTTACACATGTATTAACCTTTCTTGTGTCATGGACCCCTCTGGCAGTCTGGTAAGCAAATGAGGGGAGCCCTTTTCAGAACAATGTTTTTAAATGCATAAAATAAAATATAGAGGAATACAAAAGAAACCAATTCTACTTAAATACAGTTATCAAAATAGTTTTTAAACAAGTACTCATGGATCAGATGCTGCCTTCTGAGAGGCCCAACTCTCTTAAAATGCCTTTGCCTCTGATGCACCCTCTGTCCTAAAAGAGTTATTAATGAAACTCATCTTGAGGTTTCTGTGCCATACTTACCTGATAATGAGCTTGAGCCTGCTGGGCTGAATTCAAGGTGACATTACAAAGTTTACAGTACAAGGGCCTACATAGCTCCTCCAGTGCAAAATCCTGCTCCGAGGCCCCAGCTCTAGTGAGCTCCTGTGCCCTGGCCAAGGGCAAAGTGGCCTCCAGCCCCAGAGGTCTCTGCGGGGACAGCAGAAAGTTGGTTCTTGACCTGGTGACCACTGACATAGGAAGAGGGGGTGAGAGCTGCTCAGGGGGAGGAAGTCCAGTGTGCTGCAAGAGGATCATTGGGCAGGAGGGTGAGCATGCTCCGGGGGCCAGTGGAGAATCTGGTCTTCAGATCTGAATCAACAAGAAAGAGATATTCAGATGGTAGCATTAGGAAACATAAGTAACCCTTAAATGTTTGGGCATTTCAACTCAGTGGGTGTTTATAAAGTGCCTATTACGTGCCGGGCACTTAAAAAACACTTTGTTTATACAAAGTCAAGAACAAAACAGTCACTGCCCTCAAAGAGCCTACAATCTATTGGAGGAAAACAACATGTACACCCACACATAACTAAATATAAAAGATACAAAGTAATTTTGGAAGGGCCAAGCCATACAGGGTAGCCAGGTGGCGCCATAGTGCATAGAGCGCTGGGCCTAAAGTCAAGAAAACTCATCTTCATGAGTTCAAATCTGGCTTCAGGCACTTACTAGCTGTATGACTCAATGCAAGTCACATGACCCTGTCTGCCTCAGTTTCCCTGTCTATAAAATGAGTTGGAGAAGAAAATGGCTAACCACTCCAGGATCTTCACCAAGAAAACCCCAAATGGGGTCATGAGGAATTGAACATGACTGAACAACAAGCCACGTCAAGAATTCATATGAGGTGAATTAGGAAAGGCTTTTTAATGGAGACGATACTTGAGCTGAGCGTTGATGGGAACTAGGAAACAAAGGAGAAGAGGGAGAGCATTCTATCATTTCAGTGCAAAGAACTGATTAGACTGATCATGAGGGCTGAAGAACAACCAAAGAAAAGTCTGCCTGCTGTAGTAGAAAAGCTACCAACTCTGAAGTCAGAAGACCAAGGTTTAAATCCACCTCTGCCACTTATTACCTCCACTTCCCCATCTGTAAAATGAGGGGCTTAAATTGATGACTACTGAGGTCCCTTTCAGCTCTGAAGCCACGGGCCTATTATACCAGCTTGTGACTCTGGAAGGATTATTTCATGTCTCTGGGCCTCAGTTTTCTCATTTGTAAAAATGAGAGCCATAATTAGATGTCCTCTGAGCTCCCTTTCAGCTCATTATGATCTTATGACCCCATATGACAACCCAGTATTTCTATACTGTTATTTTTCCTCTGATTTGATAAGCCAATATCTGGGCCACCTTCTTCCTTTTTCATCTGTCAAGGAAAAAAAACCCTATTTCTTGCATTCCTTCCTAATGAAAATTCTCAAGGTTCAGCTCTTTGTGGAACTTGCCACTTAGCCAGAGACTAGGGTTATGACCCCCCTCCAACTCTTAACCCACTTGAGCATAAATGAGATTTGATTTCAGTCCACCCAGTTCCATCAGCTGTCCTACTGGCCCTCTAACACATTAAAGGTGCTTCATCCATGGCTAATTAAATCTACAAATCACAGAGCTGAAAGGGACAACAGAGGTCACCTCAACTAGATCCCCTTCCCCTAGGCACAACAAAACACAAAAATCATCTTAATTATCACCCTAATGACCACAAAGACCATTATGAATCTCTGGCAGATGACCTCAGTGCCCTCTAGGTTAACTTAATGTCAAAATGGTTGGAATTAACTTGTCAAGTAGGTTAACATGGGAAACAAAGAGACAAAGCCATTTTCATGCCCTCCATAGTGCGACATATTGAGAGTCAGGTGACCAGTATCTTTCCTAGCGAAGGGTCAGATATGAGGGAATAAAAGACCTTGCCTAGTGTCAGTCTGTGGCAAGACCAAATTAAACTTACTCCATTTAATAAACCAATGGTTCCTGATTACTTTAGATATTGACACCTTATGACTTAAGAATATATTCTATAGGATCTTTTTCTCTCGAAGGATCTCAATTTTTTTCTTCTTTCTTCAAGGGGCAGACAACCTGTACAGAACAAGCTGGGCAAGTTCACAGATGCATAGCACTTAAGAACTGAAGGGGACTTTAGAGGTCATCAGTCAGTCAATCAAGCAACTAACATTTATTAAGTGCTTAGAGTCTGCCCTGAAGTATGCTAAGCTCTGGGGCTACTAAGAATGATAGAAAACAGTCCCTGCCGCTTTCATGTGCCTGCTCTGTGCTCAATGTCCTCATCTGCAAAATGGGGATAAGAATATTTGTACTGCCTGCCTCATGAGACTGTTGTAGGGATGAAATGAGATAATGTATGTAAAGTGCTTTTAAAAAGCCATATAAATGTCACTGATGCTCATTATGTCCTCTCATCCTTATTTATGCCATGATCATGCCTGTATTTCCAGCATGAACCATAGGTTATCTTTTGGAACTTCAAGTTTCCTCAAATCAGAATCTTGGGACCCTCTGTTCATCACTCCACTTTTTAACCATTCTCAAAACCTTCTTCTTCAGTCACCAAAGTATGGATATTTTAAGCATCTGAAACACAAAGATGAAATTTTCCATCTGTCTTGCAATGTGGGCATATTTCAATTCAGATAGGCTTATTAAACGAAGACAATTTTGAAACATCAAAAGCCTACTACCTCACTTGATAAAGCTATGTAAGTAAGATGTTCTAAAAATCAATGTGACCTTGGGCAAGTCATATAACTTTTCTGGGCCTCAGTTTCTTCACCTGTAAAATTAGGGAGTTAGACTGAATGACCTATGAGGTTCTTCCAGACCCAAATCTAAGATTCTATAAAAACTTTCAAACAAAATTATGAGCAAAAAAATCAATGAAATGGAAAATCATGGAAATGGGGAAAGAGGAAAGTATAATTACAACTGAGAAATTAAGATGATTGCTTTACTTGTGATAATTTTCATTCGTTATGAATTCCAGCTCTACCTACTAATCTTTATGACTCCAAATAAGTCTCTTTCCCTAGTTAAGCCTCTCTTTCTACACCTTCAGAATGAGGGGATTGGACTATATGGTCTCTAAGATTCTCTCCAGTTCTCAGTCCTACTATTTATAACAATACTTGTTCCAATGGCATGAGCTGTGTATGTGATGTATATATATATATATATATATATATATATATACACATATACACAATGTGTGTGCATGTGTGTATATATGCCACATATATTTATACCACACATATACATATTTACATATATGCCACATGTATCTATACCACACATATATATACACACACACATGTGCTTATGCATATGCTCTCTCTCTCTACATATATATGTATATATGTGTATACACACACACACACACACACTCCAGAGATTTAAAATAATAGCATGTCAGATGATTCCCTACATCAGGTTAATTCCCTCAACTAAATCGGGCAGAAACCTTATTGAGCAGATGGAGGACCATCAATCTGAAGGCAGAAGCAGATGAGTACTTTTTTTTAATGGTAGAAGAATTAAAAAGATTGGCTGGGGGGCGGGGGTGTTAAACATTCCAATAACAGTGAAACAGTAGCAACATATGATATTGAGAAGTTAAGTTCATAGTGAACATGGAAATACAAAATGTCATCAGGAAAACTGTCTCAATGCTAGTCAGTGACAACTATAATACAAAGCCAGGCTACAAACAGAAAGGGTCAAAACAAAGGCAGGGTCAGTCTGTTTGGAAATTTCCAAAAAAGAAATTGAATTGCTAAAAAGAAAGTTCAGCACCTGCCTTCATTTTTTTGTTTGTTTGTTTGTTTTTAACTCATTCCTTTTGGGGGGGAGAACTAGGGGAAATCTAAGATGTGTTGTCTCCCATTGTGGTCAGCTTCTCTTCAAAGGGGGGAGGGGGGGTTCCTCTCAGTGTGCAGAGGTAGAGTGGGGCCTGCTTGCCTCAGGAAGAGTCAATCACCCTAATCCAAAGCAGCCTTGCCAGAATAAGGATTTACCCACGGCCAGATTTATTTTTAACATTTACTGTATAGTTGGATTTTAAAAAGAAAAAAAGGATTTCATCTGGCACATTGGCAATGTCATTTCTAAAAATATACACAGAGGGAATAACTATATCCGAGGTTGGAGAGCTTCAACAACATAATATCAAAACAAAATATCTAACACAGTGTAAAAAAAAAAAATACATGGAAAAGAAAACCAGGGAGTCATTCAGCATATAGCACCTATCTTAGTACTAATACTGTCTTGGGGGCAAAGGGCATGGCATGGTAGCTTAGATAAGTTTTCTCCAGCTCTTAAAGACTATCAAATCTGATGACTGACGGAGAAAAGATTCAGAGATTTCGAGCTGGAAGGAAGTTTAGCGTTCATCCCCCCCAATCTTCCCTCTCCACCTCCCCCCACCCCCTAACACCATTTTACTAAGATGAAAGAACCGAGGCCCAGAGAAGTTAATTTAGTCCAGGGTGGGGAAATCGCTACTTTCCAGGATAAATGGAAGTGCCTAACGGTCACCTCCTAGCTTCCAAAACTCAGGGCCTTTACATTATACTTCGAACTGAGGCCGATAGCTTTTTTTTTTTCCCATTCGATCCCAAGGAATTCACAGAGGGTGGGTGAAAGAAAATGCTGGTTCCCCCCACCCACCCAAAGAATTCGGGTATGATTGATTATTCTGACGGGGAGCCAAGAGATAACAAGGAAGGAAGGGAGAGAGAAGGGAGGTGTTACTCAGAGGTCACCACAGGCATCCAAAAGTAGCCTAAGCAGTTCCGACCAAGGCGAAGAATGGGAAGATAGTCCTAAGAGAGAGGCCGTGGTCCTCGCAAGAATAGCTTTTTGGGAAAACAGGGCTCCAGTTTTAGCTCCGGTGGCTCCTAACCACAAGCAGAGAGGGACAGTTGACTTCTTCCACCCCGGCAGAATCAAAGCCGGATAGGGTTCAGAGTCAGACGGCGGTTTAAACTCCCAGAATGTTCTAGGGTCTACGCAAACACACCTGAATCGGGTGAAGCAGACACCCGGCTGGCTGGAAGGGGGAAGCCTAGCCCCACCACCTCACCTGGGAGGAATCGCAAACAGCACGCGCAAAGCCGCCCGAGACAAAACAAAAGTCACGTGGAGCGCCCGAGAAAAGCCCCGGCCCCCGGGCAGCGGCCGAAGCGGCGGTATCCACCCCCTGTCCAGCTCAGCCGTAGAGCTGTGCCGAGAACCAAGCCCGGAACCCAACGAGCCCCGACCGCATCGCACTTACTGGAGCGCCAGGGGCCGGCTGCGGCTCACGCACCGCTGCTGAGCTGGGGACCTCCGAGCGCCCCGAGACGGACCGCCCCGCACATCCCGGGCCAGGTGAGGTGATGAGCTCGGGCCGCCTCCGCGCCCTCCCCGGCTGCCCGGAGCTCCCGGTCCTGGCCCCGGCTTGGGAAAGCCAGCGCCACCGGACACGGATGGAAACAGCTGCAGGAAGTGACTGCGGAGGAGCCGGGGAGGAGGAGACAGAGGAGGAGACTGAGACCGGCTGACTGGGGAGGGGGCGAGCAGCGTCGGCGGCGCACAGCGCCAAGGAAGGAGGAAGAGAGGGGAGGGAGGGAGACAGAGAAGGAGAGAAGGACCGGCCGTCGCGTCAGAGGTGGGGGAAGAAGAGGGGAGGAGGAGGGAGGAAGGTGAAGGAGGAGGAGAAAAAGGGAAGCAGGGGAGGACGGAGAGGAGGAGGGGAAAATGGGAAGAAGGAAGAAAAAGGAGGAGGAGGAGGAGGAGCCAAAGCCACTAAACCAAAGAATGGGAGGATAAGGCCGTCCTGGCTGTGACCCTGACCCTGACCCTGACTCCAGAGCAGTAAGGGCAGCCCGGAGCCTAGGGCTACAGCTTTGCAGCTATTTTGAGACTATAGAACGTAAGCTCCTTGAGGGCAGGAACTGTTTCCTTTTTGTCTTTGTCTGCCCATAGTCTAACACAGTGCCCGCCTCCAGGTGGGCACTGCTTGTTAGTGGATTTCATTCACAAGGAAGAACCGTCATCCTAGGTGCCAGGATAGGGAGTAAAAAAATAATAGCTAGCTTTTATAGAGCCCTTTAGAGAAAAGTTTGCAAAGCACTTCGCAAATATTTTTTCACTTTATTCTCACAACAACCCTGGGAGGTAAATGCTATTAATATCCCCGTTTTATAAATAGGGGAAAGGAGACAGACAGGGTTAAGTGACTTGCCCAGGATCACACAGTTAGTAAGTGCCTTGAGGTCACATTTGAACTGAGATCCTTCTGACTCCAACTCCAGTGCTGTAAAAATAAAAAGTATAAAGTACCCCCCAACAATAACTTTTATAATAACTGACATTTCTATAACTCTCTGAAGTCTGCACAAGCTTTATGTGAACAATTCCATGTGTGACTCAGGACAAACCTGTGATTGCATCCCAGATTATGGATCTTTGTAGGCTTATCCCCAGCCCCAAGCACCATGCCTGGCACATATTTTGGATTTGTGACAGGACCTGTAATTACATTAGTGTCAGGGACTCCTGCTGTGGAAAATTCCTCTTCCAATAAAGACTGTCAATTATCCTACAATAATACCCCATTTATTTGTTATTATCATCATCATCTCCATTTTACAAGTAAGAAAACTGAGGGTACTGAGAAAAGTGAAATGTTTTATCCATAGTCACACTAGTCATAATCTAAAGCTGGGATTTGAACCCAGTTTTCTCCTTCCAGATCTAACAATTTTCCACTTTTCTTCATCTCTTCTTAGGTGCCTAACATATTGTCATACAACTTAAAGATGTTCAATATGTGTACCTTCGTGATAACTGTCGATTTGGAGTGTTGTTTTTTAACCTGATAATCAATAAAGGGTTGAATTTTACATAATTGCAGCAGATGCTTAAGAAGTTACCTGCTGTCTATAGACCTGTCTCTGGGCTTAAGTGCTAGGATGATATTTCTTTTGGAGTCTAATAACCTCACCCTGATGCTACTTGGCATTCCCTAAAGTAACTGAAAATTCCTTTGTGTTTTCAATCTACAGAATTGGTAACTGACCATAGGTAGATAAATACCTCTAGTTTTTTTATTCTACTTTAAGAGGATAAGTGTGAAGAACATCTTTACTGGCGTTTCTCTTACAAAGAATACATAGGTTCATATCCTTAGAACTGGAAAGGAACTAAGATATTTAATACATGTCATGATATAGTATATAAAATTAATATTTTATATGAAATATTTCATGGATTTGCTAGTCTTCACAGTAACTTTCTATTACATTCAACAAAGATGTATATGAGAGGCATTGGGGAAGGCAAAAATGAGATGGTCCCTTTCTTTGAGCACCTTACATTCTGCTTCCAATTTGTGACAAGTATAGTCATAGTTTTATTTAAGTGTGGCAGATAGAAAATTATTTATGCACCCAACAATAAAGGGGATAGATGCAACAGTCAAACTGGATTGCATTAGGCTTATATAGTCAAGAAACTCATGGTGTGATTAAGATAGTCCAGATAACTCATTACTAAAAGTCTCATTGGAGATATCTATAGATCTATCTATATGTATAGATATATAGATAGATATATAGATATAGATACATAGATATATATAGATCCTTGATACTTTGAGGCATCCATGCTCTCACTAATGTGGATCCTCCCTCTAGCACTACCAATCACAAACCATCTATGTCTGCCCATGGGTTGCTATCAATAGAGAAGTCATTCTCCCATTTTCCTTTTCTCCCTCTAAAATGGACAGAAGAGAATGAAGACAGATTTGGGTCAAAGGAAAGATAGGAAAATCCCTTTTAATAGAATCTGATCTTTAGCATTCTGGGGTCCCATCCCAAATTTATTCAATAAACTGGAGAAGTCTCTTTTCCTCTAAGTCTTGTCTCCTTTCACTTTCTCAAACTCCCTAATCTCAGAAGTTTGAATAAGCATCAATGTTACTGGCTATAAAAATTTAATAATGTAACAAATAATACTAATACATATTTAGTTATTTCAATAATGTATCACAATGAGAAAGACTACAGCCAGATTCACCTCTAACCATCAACTTTAACTGCTACCTTCTGCCCAAATCTAAAAACCCACTCCTACCATTCAGCTCTCAGGCAGTCTCCTCTGCAGCATGAAGTAGACAGTTCTCTCTGGAAATGCCTCTTTAGTCTTTCTCAAAGACAACAGTTAACTGCTTCCATCTCTCAGCAAAGTTTTCTTAGCATTCCTCTCTGTAACTCACATAGTCTCTCTTGGGCTGCTCAGCTAGCACATCAGACATAGAACTGAGCCCAGACCGTCTTATTTCTAAGGCTGAACTTCTACACTGCATTGTCTCCCAACCTTTATTCTTATTGGACTTAATTCCAAAACTTTTCGTTATTTTTAGTTGCTTCCCCTAGATCCTGTCCAAGTCAGAATGCTTCATTATCAGTTCTGATGCACCTGTAAAACATTTTGAAAATATGGGGTAATGTTTCAGGATTGTATTCTAGTGTCTGGAACTTCTTTTTGCTTAGGCCATTAATTCCTTCCTAAAAATCCCATCTATTGTTAGTTCGGTGTATTTCCAACAGGGCCTTCTTTTCATCATCCTGCTTCATTTTGAAAGGGGGAGATTTCTCTTCTATCTATCAATTAAAACTCTTCTAATTTTTGTTAATGTTAGGCATACCACCCAACACCAGAGTATGCTCTGAGATATCCAGCTTTCTGTTGCATGTATCTTAGGCTTGCAAAGTAGCTTACTGCCTTAGCTCTGCCCCCTTGGTGGATAGTACTGATGTCTTGTTATTAGTCTAGGGTTTGTATTTGTATCATCTCTTCAAATGTCAAGCATACCGACTCTACATTCTACTTGAATACACTCATGTCAAACTGGTGGACAGTTGTAATAGAATGTAGCCCTGTCTCTATGACTTGGTACTATTGGTGTTCTTACATCATGTGGCTCTAAATTCTAGTCCCAAGAGTCTTTCAAAAAGAAGGTCACTCCATTCTTCTATTTTTTTCAGTAGCCATGATACAATGGGAAAAGCCCTAGCTCTGGAGGCCCGGGGTTCAATTCTTGTCTCTTCTAATTACTATATGTATGACTTGGACAAGTAATTTAGTCTCTCTGAGCCTCAGCTTCCTTATCTGTAAAATGAAGTTGTCGGGCTAGATGGCTTCCTTCCCCTCCAGTTATAAACCTAAGATCCTGCGAACATGAGCACGTCCTTCAAGTCTATGATTCTAAGGTGGAGAAAAGGTGTCCTCAACTTGTTTTCCTAGCACTTTCTTAAGATGTTTAGGAGGGCATTTTCCTCTGCCTCAGACTGCTCAGTACACAATCAAGTTCCTCCTGAAATAATTTTACTGTCTTCAGAAGCTTATTATAGTTAATCTTCTCTTTCAGGTCTAATCTGTACATCAAGTACTGTAAGCAGGTACATCTGTAGTTTCCCTGGCATCTAGCAACTCAAAATAACAACAACAACAAAAATAATAATCACCTAGCATTTACATAGCTTCAAGGTTTTCAAAGTGCTTTGTATATATAATTTAATTTGATCCTTACAACAACTCTGGGAATCTGGTACTGTTATTATGCCCACTTTACAGATGAGGAGACCAAAGACAAAAAAAGGTAAGTGACTTCTTGAGGGTCACAGAGCTACTTAGTGTCTGAGGTAGGATTTGAACTCAGACCATCTTGACTCCAAGTTCAACCTTCTATCTAGGAGGGGCCAGCTAGCTAGTTCTTAACTAATACAGCCTAACAGCATCTACTCTTCTAACTTCATTCCTCACTCTTCTCCTAGCCTCTGCAACAGTCTATCCTTCATGACAAAAGGTACAGAGGAGCTGAATACAATAAGTTCACTGCAAACTCTACCCTACTAAATTGCATCCATAGCCTATCCAAGCATTCAGATACCTTGACATCAGGGTCTTCTGATTTTGGACCACATATGAGATCAAAAGTCAGTCTCTAAAGACTTTCCATTAGTCTCCATTAGTTTCATTAGTCCACATCATTTGTATGCCACTGCTGTTACTTTTTTAATGTCATGCCACATCTAAGTCTTGAATGTTTCCACTCTAAATGGGGCCAGAAGCCCTCCTGAGAAGTTTTGTAACATGGCTTCTAATTTGTATCCACTCTCTTCTCCCCAGATGCCAAGTCACCTCTCCCACTGCCTGCATACAGTCATTCCTCTACAGGAGGGCTTTGAGCTTAGTTCTATATCTTCCTTGTTTGTAAGAGATCTAGTGACCAGTTTCTTGGGATTCTCCCCAACTTTCACCTCTCCACAAATGATAAAACATGATTTCAGCTACAGACCATACAC